CCTTGTTTCTCCCAGCCAGCTCCTGCCCCTTCCCTGGCCCTGCTTCTCCCGAAGGTCTCCCAGCGCGTGGCCACATGCCCCTGGCTCCATCCAACGTGCCAGCGCAGGGGCACCACCCACTCGTCCCTGTAGGATATGCCTGGGAGCGCCCTGCCCCTGGCACTCCTGGCTGACAGGAAGGGCAGCCAACCCTGGGGAGGGGGCCGGGGTGGCAATGGGCAGCCTCTCCCCAAGGCCTGGGAGAGTCTCCCTGTAGGGCTGCTGGGATGACAGGAGTGGAGGCCGAGGGCCCAGAGGGACCAGCTGAGCCCTCCAGCGAGCTGCTCTCTGGGAAAGGGCATCCGGAGGCCGCTGACAAAGGGCTCGTGGTTCCACAGCCGAGCCCCAGGCTGGGAACCCCTTTGCGGGTTTGGCTGCCCTTTCAGGTTCCTCCTTTCCACCTCCCGGAGGCACCTTCTGGGAAGGAGGGAGGGAGGGTGGGCCGGGATCTAGTCTGGCTGATTCCCGGGACTGCCCCAGGGACCAGGCAGCCAGAGCTTTCTTTAGCGTCACCATTGCCCCATCACCCAGACGAGCACTGGGCTATCGTCTCATCTGATCCTACAGTGAGTGAGCGACATTTGCCCGGTTTTACAGATAAGCCAACGGGGAGTCCAGAGGGGAAGTAACGGGTGAGCCTTCCACACGCGAGAGCTGGGGTCCCCGCAGGCAAACACGTGCCCGAACAGAGCCCCAGACCCAAGCTCGTGGGTGAGGAGGCCAGAAGCCCACAGCCAGCGGCTCCCTACCGGCAAGACGTCGGGGTCCTCAGTGACGGGCCTGCTCGCTGTTTCCAGGGCCTTGTGTCCATCAGGAGGCTGCAGGGACCTGTCCAAGAGGACCAGCTGGTCACAGGGACTTCTCTGGTGACAGAGGGTGATTCGGTATGAAGCTCTGTTTTACAGACGGGGCGCTCCTCCAGGGAGGGCTGGGACGGGGCAGGGCGGGCCCCTGACCCTGGGGAGACTCTCCGTCCGGGAACTCAGCTTCATGGAGAGAGCCACAGACTGTCCCACGGCTAGGACCAACCCCCTCAGCTTAGGGCCATGGTTCCCACGGTGGGGTGGTGGTGGTGGTGGTGCCCCCAGGGGACTTCCGGCCATGTCGGGAGACACTTTGGATTGTCACAACCGGGTAGGTGTCACAGACCTCGTGGAGACAGAGGCCAGGGACTTCAGCACCTACCCTACAACACACAGGATGGCCCCCACAAACACAGAGGCAAAAAAGAACTCTCTGCCCCCAAACTGCAGGAGGCCAAGGCTGAGAACCACGGGCTAGGTGCTTCGGTCTGTCCCACAGCCCGCTCCCTTCCACCCCTCGTGAGTCTGATGGCGTCCAAAGTGGCGTCCATCTCCCTGGAGCTCCAAACCTCACAGCCGGAGGTCTGAGCCCCCATCCCAGCGTGCCTTTGGGCCCAGACTATCTTCTCTGGGGTCCCACTCCCCGACCCCGGTCCCCATCGCTCTGGGCTTTCTGGCGAAGGGGGTGATCGGTGACGCTTTCTCCATCAATTCACAGCTGCACGAGGCTGGCAGATACTTTTATTGTGGTGAAAGACGCATGAGATTTGCCACGGAAGCCACTTTAAAGCACATGCCATGGCGACACTTAGGGCCTGTGTTGCCGTGTGGCATCGCCGCCGTCCCCCAGCCCCAGAAGCTCCTCAGCGCTCTGACGGGGGCCCCAGACCCCAAACCCAGTAAGCGCTCACTCCGGGTACTTCCCAGCTGTCTGATGGAGCTCAGACCGGCTGCACAGAGAAGCCGCCTCCCTGCCGTGGTGTCTGCGGACAGTTCTGTCGAGTTAGGTCTCGGGCCCGCCACGGTGCTGAGGGTCAGCCGCGTTCCCTTTGAGTTTTCCTGTTCTGGTTTCCCACTCAAAGTGCACACGGTGAAGCGCATCTACGTTCACAGTGAAGTTTGATAAAAATTTGACAGACGCACCCAACGGCGTCACTATCACTCACTCAAAACGGAGAAAGCGTCTGTCACCGCGGCAGGGCCCCTGGAGCCCGTCTTCTCCCAAATCCAGGTCCAGAGAACCACCCCTCGGGTTTGTTTTGTCCCTCTAAACTGTGTTGTCTTCTCTAAAATTTCAAATCAGCAAGGTCACATAGTACGTGCTCCTGTATGTCCGGCCTCCTCTGCCCAGCGCTCTGGCTCGGAGGTTTGTCCCTGTGACTCGGACCTCACTGGTCCCCTCCCCGTCGAGCGCTGCACCGTGTGCATCTGTCCGTGGACCAGCCGACGACCAACAGTGGGGCGGGCTGCCTGGGCCCTTACGAATAAAGCTTCTGTGGATGTGCGTGCACGAGTCTTTAGGACACACCGTTTCCATGGCTCCCGGGGGAACGTCCAGCAGTGGGATCGATGGCTCATGCGGTCAGCGCAAGTTTAAGTTAAGAAGAAATGGCAAGACAGCTTTCCAGGGTGGTGGGGCCGTTCTGCGTTCCCGAGGGCAGCGCCTGCGCCCTCCAGGTGCGCCGCACCCGTGCCAGCACTTGGCGTTGTCAAGCTCCCACATTTAGGCCACTCGGGCACTGCCCCCACAGAACGTCTTTCTGCACCTCTGTTGCCCGCTCCTTGGTCTTCCTCGCTGATGTCTCACAATGAACCTTTGCCCAGTTGTTTGGTATTTTATACGGAGCTCCCTTTTCCTCTGGCTGTCATCCGGTGTACGAGGTGAAGGGAACAGCGGGTGACTTGCTGACGACTCAGTAAGGAGAGCTCCGGCCCGTTCCCGGCTTCACCTGCTGCGGCCTGGGCGCACCCTCGGGCCCCCCGGGGACACGCGCCAGGTGTGTGTGTTCCATGGAAGCATTTTCTCCGAGGCCTTAACTTTGTCACTGGAAGTTTGAAATGTCCCTGCCGCCGTGACACCAAGGTCCCTCGATGAAGAGGCTAAAGACATTTCAGATGTTCCCAAATTGGCAAAACACTGGCAGCTGGGGGAGAGGGAGCAGAAGCTGCCCCCAACTCTTCCATGAAATGCAGTTCTGGAATGTTTTTTCTCGTTACGAAAGTCCTACGCGTACACTGCAGGAATTACACTGAAAAGAAGTCCCACTACCCAGAGGGACCCACTGCTGACATTCTGGTGTATCTACTTCCAGTGTTTTATTTTTAAGATTTTTTTCTTTATTCATTGGAGAGAGAAACAGAAAGGCAGAGCACAAGCACAGGGAGAGGGAGAAGCAGACTCATCGCTGAGCAGGGAGCCTGAAATGGGGCTCGATCCCCGGACCTGGAGATCATGACCTGAGCTGAAGGCACATGCTTAACCCACTGAGCCACCCAGGCAGACCAACTTCTAGGGTTTTAAAATGCATTTAGGCAGGGGTACCTGGCCGGCTCAGTCGGAGGAGCGTGCAACCCTTGATCTCGGGCTTATGGGTTCAAGCCCTACGCTGGGTATAAAGAATACTAAAAAATAGGGGGGCATGGGTGGCTCAGTGGGTTAAAGCCTCTGCCTTCAGCTCAGGTCATGATCTCAGGGTCCTGGGATCGAGCCCTGCACTGGGCTCTCTGCTGAGAAGGGAGCCTGCTTCCCTCTCTCTCTGTCTGCCTCTCTGCCTACTTGTGATCTTTGTCTGTCAAATATTAAAATTAAATATTAAAAAATACTAAAAAATAAACTTAAAAAAATAGGATGGATTCAGGTGTATAAAGGGTTAAGTATGATGAACAGGGCACCGGGCTATAGAAGCTGGCATTAGGGAAGAAAGAATCTGAGGCCGAAGAGGTCCAGGAAAAAAGCTATCGGGGGCGACCTGGGCCTCGACGGGAGACGAGAGAAGCAGCCCCAGGTGTTTGCAGAGGGTCGTGTGGGAGCTGAGGCTCGGGAGCGCCAGGCAGGGGCGCCGGGCAGAGTCATTCTGAGCAGGAGGCCACCGGCCCCCGAGTGCACACATGTCCGTATGGATCTTTCTTCTGGAACCAGGGAACAGACGGACGGACGCACAGAGGAACGCTAACATCCGTCATGCACCTGCTCGGGGCCAGGCCCGATGCTTGGTGGCTTCCCAAGCACTCCCGCACGAACTCAGGCACACACCTGCGGGGCGGGAACTACACTCCCGTCTTCCTGGGGGTTCCTGCGCCCCAAGGGCCCAGGGCTTCAGCACGCCACAGCACGGGGTTCTCGCAGGCTGGTTCCCCCCATCTGTGAATTCCTTCTCGGTGACTCATGACAAGCTCAGAGATGAGGTCCCCGCCAGACCTGAGCCCGGGGTCCAGGCTGAAGAAGGGGCTGTTTATCCTGTGCCGGGGTCCTCTTCCTCACAGCTGGCTTTCATGCCAAAGTCAGCCTTCAGGAACATTCGAGTAAATGTAACTACTTCCTTATCCACGTACTGGCTCCACCCCCACATGAACAGTTTCTTTTTCTTTTTTTTTTTTTTTAAGATTTTTATTTATTTATTTGACAGACAGAGATCACAGGTAGGCAGAGAGGCAGGCAGAGAGAGAGGAAGCAGGCTCCCTGCTGAGCAGAGAGCAGCTGAAGGCAGAGGCTTTAACCCACTGAGACACCCAGGCGCCCCTGAACAGTTTCTTCTTATACAACACTGAGCTGTGCAGCTCCTGGCCCTAACGTGTCTCTGGGAGGTGCCTAGACTCGGCCCAGGGCCTGCCAGGCCCCCCAGGGTCCATCAACTCATCAGTCATGGCTGGGGAGTGCCCCGGGAGATATTCCGTTGTGGCCGGATGCACAGCAACAAGGGGCAAGGCGCTGAGAGCCCCTCCATGCTGGCCTCCCACCCCGCCTCCTCAGGGCCAGGACCTACCCACTCCCCTCACTAGGCTCCAGGAGCCCCTGTGCTCCTCACTGGGCACAGGACAGCCTACACCCCACCCTGCCAGGCACCAGGACCCCCTACCCCCCCACCAGGCACCAGGACCGCTTACCCCCCCACCCCGCCAGGCACCAGGACCCCCTACCCCCCCACCATGGCACCAGGACCCCCTACCCCCACCAGGCACAAGAGAACCTCCTTTGTCTGCTGCAGTCGGTGGGGGTCACGGGTGGGGTGTTACAATCAGAAAGGTCAGTCTTCTAAATCCTCCCCACACACCACCTCTGGGGGGGCCCGAGGGACAGAGACAAAGGGGCTTGTGTCTGGGCTGCAGTGGTAAACAGCTGGGAAAATCTTCCCGTGGGTTTGGCGGCTGGTTTGGGCTCCTTCCCTCACTGGTCTTGGGAGAGGTGGGAGGCTGGGGGGTGGGAGGCGTTGGCAGGAGTCACCTGTCGGGGGCAGGAGCTGAGTAGTCTCACTGCCTACCGCCCTACTGAACGTTTGGGCTCCCAGGAGCATGCACAGACCTGCGCACACGTGCACACACATGCATGCCCATGATGGACACGCACAGGACACGGCACGAGGCCCCGGGGATAGGGCTGCGTGGCACCACGGCCCTGGGCAGTCAGCGGTCATCTGGGAGATGGGGCCTCGGCCCTGGACAGTGAACTGCAGCTCCTGGGTGGTGGGGATGACGCTGGGACGCGGCCATTATCAAATGCAGCAAAGAGGCCGAGGAAGTGAGGGACGTTACCTGTGATCCTCCCTGTCCTCTCCTCACTGCTTTCTGGAAGGGCCTCGTGCAGAGCAAAGAGCTGGAGGTTTAACAAAAGAGCACAGAGAAGTGATGAGCGAGAGGAAGTCACCAGGAGGGACGGACTCTGCAGGGCCGGAAGCCCCATCCAGGAGGCAGAGGGGGGCAGGGAGGGGAGGGACAGCAGAGGAGAGGCTCTGAGGGGCACTCGGCAGGGCCAGGGAACATTCCAGAACATGCCCGGTGTGTGGCTGAGGCAGCAAGCCTTCTGGGCAGCTTCCCCGAGGCTGCTGGGGCTGGTCTGGGCCCCAAAGGGCCGATGCCCTAGGACCATCCCGCGTGCCTGCCCCACACTGTCCTCCCCGCCAACCAGGGCTCGGGACTCCAGCCAGCCCTGAGCTCCTGACACTGAGCTCTTCCAGGGAACATTTCAGACACACCCACAGGGAGGGGAGGGGCAAGGGGACACCGTGGCTGCCCTCTCCCAGCCCTTGGTGGACTAACTGGACTGAAAGCAGGTCCCCCTTGCCTCACAGAGGCCGAGGAAGCTTATCGGGATGGAGGGTGTGCAAATGCCCAAACACTGAGCCGGTCCCATAGGTCTGGCTTTGTCCCTGCTTCGGACACACATTGCCAAGCTGGCAATGGTTGCCAGGGCCCTGGGGACAGCCCCTGGGTCACTGGCAGGGAGGGTAGGAGGTGGTGGTTGTGCCACTGGCCAGAGCGAGGAGATTCAGTCCTAAATGCCCAGCTGGCAGCCATGGTGACAGGCCAGGGGTGCAGAGACTGAAAATCGGGGGGCTCTGAGAGGCCGGGAGCCCCTGCTTTAGCCGAGTCACTGCTGGGTGGACTACAGAATTTCTCCAGCTCTAAGGACACTTCTGGGAACACGGATCATGTTAAGAAACAAAATCCAGAGGAGGAAATGTGAAGACTGGCTTGCGTTATCAGCGATGTGCGGGCCTGGCAGTGGGGAGCTCTGGGCTGTATGAAATGGAGAATGTTTACAAGAAGTGGGGGCAGGGAGTGAGCAGCAGAAGGAAAGGAAGGATGGCTCCAGAGAAGGCTGCTTTCCCTCCGGGGCAGGACAGGGGTCTTAGGTGGCTTTCCACACCTTCTTTGGGGGATGGCCAGGCTTGGGAGGGCAGATGACCTCACTAGTGCCTGCCAAAAAGCTCCCACCCACCGCTTAAGACCATGTTTCTGGGGGTGCCTGGGTGGCTCAGTTGGTGAAGCATCTGCCTTTGGCTCAGGTCATGTTCCTGGGCTTGGGATCAAGTCCCGAGTCGGGCTCCCTGCTCAGCGGCGAGCCTGCTGCTCCCCCTGCTTGTGTTCTCTCTCTCTGACACATAAATAAAATCTTTAAAAAAAAACAAAAAAAGACTGTTTCTGGGGGAGCCACGCACGTCAGGTGTTAAACTCCAGGTGGGAGACTTGGCCCAAGTGATACCATTTGGGGCCTGGGATTTATTTTTTAAAGATTTTTTTTTTTTTTTAATTTATTTGACAGAGATCACAAGTAGGCAGAGAGGCAGGCAGAGAGTGGGGTCGGGGGAGGGGGGAAGGCGGCTCCCTGCTGAGCAGAGAGCAGGATGTGGGGCTTGATCCCAGGACCCTGAGATCATGACCAGAGCTGAAGGCAAAGGCTTTAACCCACTGGGCCACCCAGGTGCCCCTTGGATTTCTTTTTAACAATAATCCCAGCAGGACAGGTGTCACCCTAGACTGCCCCAAGTGAGCCTAGGCTGTCCTCCGCACAAGTGGGAGAAATTCCTCTCAAACTCCCTGGGGTAAAGGACTACCTCTTCACAGTCTACCACGGTCAGACGCTGTCCTGACCCGCTCGGGCTGCGACTGCACAGACCGGGGGGAGGGGGGTGCAGACAACCAGTTGTGTCCCCTCCATTCTGGCTGCTGGGAGTCGGAGAGCAGGCATCACAGGGATGGGCTGCTCTCTCCCAGGCCCTCAGGCAGCCTCTGCTTCCGTGTGCTCACATGGTCCAACCCATCAATGCGCTGGGAAGCGTGCGTGTTTCCCTGAGCTCTGTGAGCTGCTCTAGTCCACTGTGAGGGCTGGGGAGGAGGGACGCTCCACTCTGCAGGCTGTGATAGGAAGCACAGGACTGGGGACTGGCGTCTGGGGAGGGGCTGGGGCTGAGTCCCTCACCTGTGGGGCTGCTGCTGTCCCTGGGTGGACCGTGTCACGACTGTGCTGAATTCCGGGCACCCCCTGGTATCTGAGGAGCCCGGAGCCCGCCACGCTGGAACTGGCTCTGGGAACCTTAAAAAAATCGTGGCATGTGCTTTTGTAAAATACAATAATATAATTGTAAACTACAATAAGAATGAGTAACTAACAAACAGGAAGCGGGGAGAAGACATAAAACACATACCTACATTTTCTATAAAAATAAAAATAGGGGGTGCCTGGGTGGCTCAGTGGGTTAAAGCTCTGCCTTTGGCTCAGGTCATGATCTCAGGGTCCTGGGATTGAGCCCCATATCGGGCTCCCGGCTCAGCGGGGAGTCTGCTTCTCCCTCTCCGTTGCCTCTCCCTGTTTCCTGCTTTGTCTCTCTCTAATAAAGAAATAAAATCTTAAAAAAAATTAAATATACACACAGTTTATGACCCAGCCATTCCACTTCCGGGTGTTGGCTCGGCGGAAATGAAAACACGTCCACATGTGAACACTTCCAAGTGTTCACAGCTTTAGGGGGAAATAGCCAAACCCAGAAACAACCCAAGGGCCCATCAACACGAGAATGGGTGAGGTCTCTCAGCGCTGTGGCCTCTCGGGAACACCCGGGCACACCACCGCCGCCGGGGGAGCCCCCATAGACATCCCGCTGAAGCCGAAGAAGCCAGGCCCAAGACAGGACTTGCTGGGTGACTCTGTTTACCTCAAATACCAGGAAGGACAGAATGCAGATCAGTGGTCACTTGGGGACTGGGAGGTGGGACAGGGGAACTGACCAGGAAGGGGCACAAGGAGGATTTTGGGGTGACTGAAACGCCCTGCAACATAGTATGTTAAACAGTAATACATGTCCCGGGGAAGGAAAGAGCGCAAAGGAAGAAGCAAGAGGGGAGGGAGGGAAGGCTGCTCTTGTAAACAGGATGGTGACATGGTGGCATCTGAGCGCAGATCTGCAGGAAGCGGAGACTGCAGGTGCAAAGGCCCTGAGGCAGGAGCATGCCTGTGGTGTTCCAGTGCACACCTGGAAGCCCTGCAGCTGCAGCTCCCTGAGTGAGGGGGGGGGGGCGGGGAGGCCAGAAGGATGACGTCATTTCCTCTGAGGGAGGCGAGGAGCCCGCAGAGGGTTCTGAAGGGTGGCGTGAGACTCAGGCTTGGAGACAGCCAGTCTCAGAGCTGTGCAGCTGTGCGGAGACGAGGCTGCTGGAGCCAGAGCAGAAGCAGGGAGCCCGGTGAGGAGGCCACTGTTGAAACGCAGGACCTGATGGAGAGCAACCAGGCCAGTGGAGGAACGAGTGGCCACATCTGGACATATTTCCCGGATGGAGGAAAACCAACAGGATTGGCTGATGGCCTGAATGTAGACCATGAGGGCAAGAGAGGAGGCAGGGGGGCCCACGGCAGCCACTCACCTGCTCTCCGCCCCTGTGGCCCTGGGGCCTGGCCGGTCCCCTCAGCTTGCTCACAGGGCGTCTGCAGGCCTCGCGGGGCATCTGCTCCTCTCAGTCACTGAGCAAATTCTCCCGATTGATCGGGCGCCGTACAGTGTGTTTTCCCTGACTGCCAGCTGGAGGGCATTTCGGGGGGCTGCACTCGACATGGACACTGGTGAGTTCGCCAGGACCCCATCAGCTGGGGCAGTGGTGAGACTCCTTCAGGTGCCTTGGGGGCCGGCAGCACTGACAGAGACTTGAATCAGGAAAGAGAGACAAGGAAAGGCTTGTTCTTGGATAAATTCTTTACATCCTGGGGATCCCTGAAACAACACTGGGGGGCCTCTGCAGGTCCAGGATTCTTGTGGGCAGGTATGAGCTCAAAGGCTTCATAATTTGGATAAAATTCGTATGTGCAGGACGCCTAGCCAGCTCAGTTGGTGGAGCAACTCCTGATCTCAGGGTTGTGAGTTCGAGCCCCACGCTAAATGCAGGGGTTACTTAAAGATAAAATCTTAGGGCACCTGGGTGGCTCAGTCAGTTAAGCATCTGCTTTCAGCTCAGGTCATGATCCCAGAATTCCAGGATCGAGTCTCGCATCAGGTTCCCTGCTTAGTAGGGGGTCTGCTTCTCCCTCTGCCCTTCACAGTGATTGTTCTCTCTCTCGCTCTCTGTCAAATATAAATTTAAAAAATCTTAAAAAAAATAAAATTTAAAAATTAAAAAATTAAAATCTTTAAAAGAAAACCTAAATGTGACGTGATTGACGAAATCTAACATAACCGTTTTCATGAAAAAAAAAAAAAAGAGTTTTCTGTAAAAAAACAAGAAGTTTTCTACGAATCTAAAACTACTGTAAAACAGAGGGTTTGAAGCAGGTATAACAGCTAGGCATGCAATTAGTGACAAGTAAAAGAAGATGGACCAACAGCGGCTTACAAGCGCAGGGACGCATAGATGGAGGCAGCTGTCGAAGACCGGATAGTGGGCCCACCATGTCCTCACACCCACAGCTCCTGAACCTTTGCTGTCATTTGGTGTAGTAGCTTGTCACCTCATGGTGATAAGATGGCTGCTGATGTTTAAGCATCACATCAACATCCAAGACTAGAAGAAGGAAGTGGATGGGAAAGGATGCTGGCTGAGTATGTCCCTTTTACCAGGAAAAAGCCATCTACCCAAGAAACCACCCACCGGACATCTGCTTCCCTCTCCTGGACCAACACTCCGGTGACCTTGCAGGAGACTGTGGAATTGAGCTTTTCGCTTTTCCAGTACCTTCAGAGGAGGAAGCAAGGGAGGGGCATGGGCTTACCTGGCACGGAGGCTGCCACCACACAAGAGCTGGACTCAGTGCCTGTGTGCTCACTTGCTCTGGACGTGCGGGCAGAACCATGGAGTCCCGGGCGCGGGGGTGGACGTCTCATCAAGGGTTAAAGACCTGAGGTGAGAGCATGTGGAGGGACAGACTGAGTAGCCCGCAGCTAAGGCAGATCCTGCTGGAATGACATTTGTCACCTTGGGGAGGTCAGGGGAGCTCTGGGAAGGGCTGTTCTATGTGGGAGGCTGTGGCAGGTGGAGACAGCTGCCCTCTGGGCCCCAGGGACTTCTCCTGAGGAGACTGCAGGCTGGCCCAGGGACTCTGTGGTCCCCAGAGGCAGGTGGGGTCCATGGAGCCAAAACAGCCAGTCCTCCCCACCCAGAATGGTCCAGATTAGGGGGGTGTTCCTAGCCCAGCTCCAATTTAGGAGCAAAAGGGCTTCTCTGCTGGCACTGGGCAGACTCGGCTTCCACCTCCTGGACGCCCCAGCCCTGAGCAAAGAGGGGTCAATGCATACGGTGCTGCGGTGGGGACCCAGGTGCTGGTTCCCCACTTGGCGCCCAGCCTGCGCTCCCAGCCCGCCATCCAGCTCCTCCAGGAGGGTGCGCTGGGGGCTCCCTGGAGGCTGAGAGCCCAACTCAGAGAGAACCCACCCCCACTGGAGTGTCCTGGCAATACCCCTACCCGTTCCCTCCCTCAGGGGCTTCTGTGGGGGATCCTCTGTTACCGGGGACCAGGGAGAACATGAGGAACAGAAGACGGAGAAGGGAAGAATGAGGAGAAGCAGCAGGGGCAGAAGAAGGGGCGAGGGGTGCTGGGAGAGCTCGGAGGACAGAGGGAGGAGGAGGCACAGCAAGAGGGGGAGCGCGGGCTGAAGGCGGGGAGAGGGGGCAGGGCGAGTGGCAGGTAAGGAGGGGACTGGGTCACAAAGGGAGGGCTGGGATTTGGATGTGGCACTGACCTGAGTCACCACTCCCTCCCCAGGCTGGTTCCCAGGTGAGCAGGAAGCCAGGGCCCTGTTTGTTTTTTGATAAAACCAACCCCAAGGCATCTACTGTGATCTGGTAACAACACAAAGGTCATCAAAACAACACGAACCAATGCTTGAGAAGTTGCTCCTTAGGAAGGGGGCCAAAAAGCAAGCCAGCCAGAACCCCATGCTGCCTTCTCAAAAACTCACTTCATGGGCAATTTCTAGCTGGAGACACTTTGTAAGCAGTCCGCCGGCATGACCGCACCTAGCTGCTTCCTTGACTTTTAGAATGAATCTCTTTGTGTGAACCACCATCGGGTTCACACAACCATAGAACCCTCAGTTGGCACATCCATGGGCTGCAGGGAACCCCAGGTGGGTGAGGATGAGGTTCTGGGGGGGGGGGTGCTCTGGAGGGCAGGCCCAGGAGGCCAGGGCCCCCGCTGCAGAGGAGAGGGCGGGAGAGGGGCACTCCCCGGGGAAGGGGGTTAGCTGACAGACCCTCTGTGGCCCAGGACTTGCTCCCCAACCCGCCATGGGCTCAGGCCAGGTGACTCTAGCCCACCGTGTCACCAGGCTTAGCGACCTCCCATCTCATTGTTTTGCTCCGTCCTTGTAGGACTACTCACAGAATCAGCAGTGAGTCACTCCTGAGTCAGCTCCTGGGGGTGCAGAGGCCCTGGTTGCCTCAGCCCAAATCCGGGAGACCTGGTTCTCAGGGGAGGGAGGGGACACCCCACTCTCATATGGGCGGGTTTTTCCTCGCTAGCCCAGTTTTGGAAACCCAACAGGCAGGCTGGGGGCCTGGACTGGCCCTGCAGCCCGCTGGGCCTCCCGCCTCCTCTCTTTGTGGCCTTCCGGTGGGAGGGGGGCATAGGAAAGAAGTGCAAAGGCCGGGGGTCGGAATAGTGAAACACAGGTGCACAGGACACCTGGTCCCTGGTGGGGCCACCACAGAGTCACACCCATCTGCCCCATTTTAATCCCAATGTCCTGCTTCCCAATGTCCCCACACCTGGAAAAACAGGAACAGGGGAATAAATAATTTATTGAAATTAGAATAAATAAGATATGCGGGCAGGGCTACAAACAACTGTAAAAATCGTTAACATATATACACATAAAAAGGTGCTCCCGCGGGCGGGGCGGGGCGGGGCCTCGCTGCAGAGGCGGCGGTGCCGGCACGCGGGCGCCCCCCGGAGGCAGGTGGCTCACTTACAATGGTGGCCGCCCATCTCTCTGGATCCTAAGGCGCCCGGCCCGCAGAGGGCCCGCGGCCCGGGGAGGGCCCGCTCCCCTGCGAATGCCCGCGGAGCTGCACCCCCTGCACGATCCGCATCACCCAGGAGCGGTGGGCGGCCAGGCTGATGTAGACGCCGGGCCGATCGCGCTCTGCGCAGCCCTCACCCCAGCTGATGATGCCTGCCAGCAGCCACGTGCCCTCCACCTGGCACATGAGGGGGCCTCCGGAGTCACCCTGTGGAGAGGAGGTGAGGTCAGGGACCCACGTGGGTCAGGGCTGGGCAGAGCCCAGGACCGACACCGCAGGTGGCAAGGGGTTCCCTTGTAGGGTGGGCTTCTCCGACCTGGAGGACAGGCCCTTGGGCTCACTGCTGGTGAGGGGCGCTTTGTGCCAGACCTCGGCACTCACAGCCCGAGCCACACCGGCACCCCGGGTAGCAGGGAGGAGGCACAAGCAGGATCTAGTGTCTGAGCCGCCCACTGTATGGAGCTGGAGCTGGTTCTGGGGGCCAGGACGGAGGAACCCCCTCAGAAGAAGGCAAGCTCCCAGAGAGTGGGGTCCGGCACCCCAAGATGCTCAGGAGAGCTTTGGTGTACGGCCTGGCGGACGGGTGCCTGGGTCAAGCAGAGGCCCAGTTCTGTAGGCATCTTGGGAACTCGCGGGTCCCAGCTGATGTGGGGGGGCGGGCAGTGGGCAGTGCGGGAAGAAGGTGGGTGCTCACCAGACAGGCATCTCGCTGCCCCTCCAGGTAGCCCGCACACAGCATGTCCTCGGTGATGGCCCCCTGCCCTGCCCCACTCCAGTACAAGCGGCCGCAGATTTCTGAGTCGATGATGGGAACCTCCAGTTTCTGCAGGGTCTGGGGATGGGGTAGGGGCACTGGGAGCAGGGAACAGGGCATCAGGCGTGGGAAATCCTCTCTTTACTGTCCCCACGGCCCCTCAGTCCCCCTTGGAGGCCGTTCTCAAAGGCTAACGATCAACTGTCAGATTCTCCCAAACGCCTATGGAAAACCCCAATTCCCAGACTCCACCTCCGGATCTACTGAACACAAACAGGAGTGTGCATCCTGAGACCCTGAATTTTTGGAGACTGGAGATGCCCACAAATGGAGAGAACCACGGTTCCCAGCTTGTCCTGCCTCAGGCACCGCCTTGTCCAGCGTGGGGACGGGACAAGGGAAGTGGTCAACACACCATTGCCCTATGCTGGAAGCTATTAGGCCATGAGAGTCCCCCAAGCCCTGGGGAACTGGAGGCCTTGGGGACGGTCTGCAGACCATAACTGGAGTTCCTGGAAAAGCCCCGCAGGATGACTATGGGGAGGCTGCCCACAACCTCAGACTCGGGGACCCCCAGGAACCTGGTGTCATTTCTTGTACTTCTTTTGGAATCTGGTTGAGGTCCCATTTTTCCTACACTTTTTCCTCTTAGCCCCCCCTCCCCATTATCTACCTACCTACCTTCCTTCTCTCCCTCCCTTCTTCTGCTTCTCTGTCTCTTACTTTATCTGCCTTAGGATGTTTTCCAGACTTGGTCTGACAACTCTGTTTTCTGGTTATGGAGACTGTCCTTCTGGAAATTTTGCCTGCAATTATGGCATGCTGCCACCAGGAGGAGCCTGTTTCCCGCTTGGGCGTTGATCCACAGTCAGCCTGGCCCCACACGTTTCTTCCAGCCCTTCCTCCATCACTTAATAGCCTCGCTGATCTGCCTGCTGCGGCCTCAGGACATCACCACAGATCCCTTTTACGGAGAGAGGCCCTAAGCTGTCCACGTAACACTCCATGACTCCCCACCTCCGGACTGCAGCTCACTTTTTGTCTCTGTCATCAGAAGAGAGTCTTTTTCCTTCTGCTATGCCTCTGGCCTCTGCCCTCTGCTCCCCACCGTCCCTGTGTTCCCGGCTACCCCCCGCCACCTGGGAGGGGAGAAGCCGCACCTCCGTCATGGATGCTCCCCCAGCCTGCGATCCAGCAGCGCGTGTTCGGAGAGAGGCGGACAGAGGAATCAGGCAGGCAGATGGGCAGGACTCGCTCAGAGAAGCGGATGGAGTGCTCCAGGCGCACCAGGGCGATGTCCGCACGGGAGCCCTCTCTCCAGGAGTACACGGGGTGGGACCGAACCCAGGCGATACCCACCTCCTGGGACCTCGGGCCAGGGTTCCCCAGCCGCCAGGCCCCCAGCAGCACAGAGAACTGGGATGGGTTGTTCAGATTGCTGGCAGGAGAGGAAAGGAGGTAGGGTCACTAAGGAACCTGGGGTGTAGGGTGCCAGGAAGGGTCTGGGGGACGACATGCTCAGGAAGGCCCCTGAAGAAGGGTCTCTCTTCTGAGAGGCTCTGAGACTGGACCGAGACCTGGAGGCTGGGGCTGAGTGGGGAGCTCTGGGTCTAGGGCAGAAAGCCTGGGCGTCAAGTACAGGACAGGCCATGCATACCCCTTGAAGCAGTGGGCGGCGGTGACCACCCAGCGGCTGGTGAGCAGCGAGCCCGCACAGTGGTGGGTCCCGTTCTTCTGGATGCTCACAACCCAGGGCCACTCGGCATCAGTGCTGTCCTCGCCACCCACAATCCGGTTCAGCCGCTGGGGCTTCCCACAGGTCGGGGGAGCTGGTGGAGAAGAGTCACGTTTTGTCACCCCCGGGGCCCAAACCTCCGGCCCTGCCTATGCCCCGTGCTGTTTCTCGTGTGTGCGGGGGGGGGGGGGGGGGCGCCCCTGCCCTTCCTCTGCCCTCCCCTCAGGCTGGCCTTCCTCTGCGCTCCTCTCATCCGCTGATGCTGCCCTGCTCTGGGCCCCCTCTCGGCTCTGCTTTCCAGGCCCCCTTTGCAGCCTGCCTTCCTCTCCTGCTCCCCAAAGACAGACAGCCTCCCCCGCCTCCGCCACTCGGTGCAGGCCCCACTCACCAGGTATCCTGGCAGCACGGAGGGAAGCTGCAGGAGAGAGAAGGAAGAGTCAGTCGAGCGGAGAGGAGGCCCCCCGCCCCCAGTGCCCAGGGCAGCTCCCCAGACCTCTAGGGTGGGGCATTTCCTGGAGCCTGGGTAGGGCTGACAGAAACCTCAGGCGCCCTCTCTCAGTTGCAGCCTTATCCTCCCACCGGACTCCTGGCCCACCTGTGCCCGCGCTCCATCCCACCTGCCTGGCAGAGGACGGCCGACTCCTGGGCACCTCTCAAGGAGGCTAAGAGTCGGGGGGCACACGCCCACCCCTCTTAGGTTTCCCCCAGACCTGAGGGTGGGGCCCAAGACCCTCTCTATCCCCAGCCTGAGAACTGCAACAGAAATGCGTGGACTGGAGAGAGGGAAGGAGGACGAGGACGAGAGGGACGATGGATAGCTCGGGGAGGGCTGAGGTGTGGTGAGGTCCAGGCAGGGGCGCAGCCTGCCTCGGTGTATCCTGCGGTCCTGCTGGCAGCCACAGGACACAGCAGAGAGGAGCAAGCAGCAGAGAAGGCGGGAGGGGGGTAAAGGAACGGAGACCAGGTGCAGGCAGGGCCAGGAGGGACGGCAGGTGGGCAGGTGCTGAGTTGGGAGCAGGAAGGGGGTGGCTGTGGGGGGTGCAGAGGAGGGAGGGGGGGCAGGGCCTCAGAACTCACCTGCAGAAGCCAGAAGCAGCAGTGGGGTTAAGATCCTGAGACCGCCCCCACCCAGGGCTGGGGGAGCTCTGGAAACTACCATGGCCAGCAGGGGCACAGGCACGGCTGGGAGAGCAGTCCTGCCTGTGACGGGGTGTGTGGAGTTCCCTACAGGTCACCCGAGGTTTTATCCTGGGAGGTGGAATGCCGTTGGACCAGTCCCCCAACTGAGTGAGTGGCTCAGTCCCTGCCACCCCAGGCTATAGGTCACAGGAGGGGTGGGACTGCTGGGAGGAAATGAGCCGCTAAGGGGACTGGGGGCTCTAGCTGAGACCCCTCCCTCTGCCCTGGAACAGTGGACTCAGGGATCTGGTTTGGGAGCTCAGGACCCTGGCTCCAGCTGTGGGCCCCGGATCTACCCTCTGGAGGAGCAGAACCTGGACCCAGAGGTCTAGGCCAGTGGCGCTGACATTGCGCAAGTCCCCCAGTTTGGGTGCTGAAGGGAAGGCCTGGGGCCTGAGCCTGCAGCAGCTGAAGGCTAGGATAAGGGGTCTTGGTGAGGTCCTAGGGCCTTGGGGAGAAGGGGGCTGCCCAGAGAGGCTCAGTAACGGCTCCTTCCTCCAGGGGCCACCGTGACTCAGCCAGGAGACCTCATCAAGCCCTGGGCTCTGGGATCCCGTTAACCACTTCCTGGAAAGCTGTGAATCAGGCCCCCAGTGACTGCTTGTCATGTGGGTCCTGCCACTTGGTGGCGAACGACTCACCCCTCACCTGCACTGCGGGGAAGACCAGGCAGGGCCGGCCAGGTGCCCAGGTGGCTGACTGACGCGGCTGCCTGGGCAGGGCTGGGTGCCATCCCCCACACTCGGGTCAGAGAGCAGCGGGGCTCCGCTGGCGCAGGGGGTGCCCTAGATGAGACCTGGTGACCTGGGGTCCCCACCAGTTCCTCCCTGACTCAGTGCCCCAATCCCATGATGCCCCCACCCCAAGCAGGAGGGGCAGGCCGATTCCTCTTCTGAGACCCACCGTGTATCTCTGTCCATTTGTTCATTTGATCAATAAGCCCCGTGCTGGGAAGGAGCGCAACATAGTGGGAGCTTACGGTGGGCCCCGCCCTGCTGCATCTCAGCGGAGGAAACAGGGCCTGGTGGGGGGGGGGGGGGGGGTGGGGGGGGGGGGAGCCTAGATTTGAACCTCAATCTGGAAGCAGGTGACTGGATGGGACTCAGCAGATCCTGAGGGATCTCGGTCCAGGGGCTGGATGGTTTTTACCCAAGGGCCTAGGTGCGGGGATGCTGGGAGTCTCAGGGCCCCAAGGAGGCGCCCGACTCTGGCGGTGGCCAGTGAAGGCTGCCCAGAAAAGGAGGGCCTCGAAACAGAGGCCCGGAGGGCAAGTGGGAGTGGGCCGTGCAGAGACTCAGGCAGGAGGGTCCTCGCAGGAGAGAGGGAGTCTGGGCTGGGAGGAGCTGGGGGCCCTCCAGGCCGCCCCTCAGTGCACCCCACTGGGCACACCACCTCAGCCTCTCTGGCGCTCCCCAGCTTGGCCAACATGCTCCGCTCCCACAGCCTGTGTGGGGGGCGGACTCCAGCACTGCCTCCCCACCGAGGATCTGCCGGTGGCAGGTGTCGGCAACTGGCCGCCTCCACTGGAGACTGGGAGTGTCAGTACCAAAGGACCATCGGTGTGTGTTACTGGCCCCCCTCCCCAACTCCCGCTTCGGTGGGAAGGGCAGGAGAAAACTGGGGGTTAAACTGCAGCCAGAATCACCCCTCCACGTCAGGGCGAGCCCTCCCTCCGCTGCACCCCACCCACCCCGAACAGCCCCCACCTGATGCGCTCTTCCCAGGACTGGAAGGAGGGGGCTGCCCGAGAGCACCCTCGCCCAGCCGCCAAGGTGAGGGGCTGGTTCTGCAGGTGCTCTCTCTCTACACCTGCCTCCAACCCTGGGTCACCCCTGTACTCCATGGCTAGCCTCAGGCTCCTGCAACCCACTCTCTTCCTGCACTAAGGCGGCCGGCCTCCAGGCTCATTTGATAAGCATTTACTGGGCAACTGCCGTAGGCCAGGCCCTGTGCTGGGCACTGGGACACAGGGGTGGGTAAGACACAGGTCCTGTCTTCAAGCAGCCTGCATCTTCCCCGCGCCGGGAGGTGGACCACACAACGATGGTGAGTCAGGGACGAGGGCAGAGGGGATTCTGGAGGCTTCTGCTGGGCTGAACCACTCCAGACTGCTGCCTCCCCAGCGTCCTCTGTATAACAGCCTTTCCTGACACCTGGGTGACTTCCCAGGTGACTCAAGGGGCAGGCATGTGTCCTGAGAGGTCACTGTCCCCAAGACAGGGTAGCCAGGCCGAGGGCTTCAAGCGGAGGGACCCAGCAGGTGCCACAGAAGTCCTGGAAAGCCAGCGAACTCCAGCACGGGTCCTAAGTAAGGCCCCGGTTCCCAGGCGGGGACCCTGGCGTGATTCAACGGTCAACCAAAGACCTGTGGTGTGCCTACTGTGTGCTGGAGGGACGCCAGGCGTGCTGGCTGGGCCCCTCATCACCTGGGCACCCACCCTGCCGCCTACCTGTAGCCGTCTATCTGGGGTGCCCTCTCAGGGCCAAGGATGAGCCCAGAGGTATGCAGGACGCAGGGGGCTGCGGTGCTAGGCCCACCACGCTCCAGGCAGAGGAGCGCCCACTAACACCATCCCCAGCAGGGCAGACACCCTCACGGGGCCGCGCACTCACCCCCAACCCACAACCACCAGGGACCGCTGGGCGCCACTGCACCAGCCCAGGACACAGCAGGGAGTGAACTGAAACCAACCCCAGAGGAAAGACAAAAACGATAGGAACAAATCATTTAGTCTGAGGGATGATGAAGTCCTGGGGAAACCCAACCTGGAAGGAGATGCGGCCGGGGAGAGGGTGGCCCTTGTGTCGGGACACAGGACAGTGCTCCCTCTCCGTGGAGTCTCGTGGGTGCAGTCGGAGGTCATCCCAGTCCCCCGAACCGCACCAGCAAAGGCTCCACTGGCTGGGACTGGTGGATTTGAGCTGTGGCAGAGGAGAGGCATGTGGGGTGGGGGGCGGTGGCGTGTAGGTGACACTGACCTGGGCTCCAGGGAACCCAGACAGCGACAGAAGTGGGGAGGCTGTTCCACGGGGAGGGGACAGGGTGCTTGGGGGTGCGGGGAGCGGCTCTCAGCAGAGGGTGAGAGGACCCACGTGGCCCCTGTGCCTGAGCGCCCGCCCCACGTCCACAGCAGCAGGACCCACAGAGCCCCCGAGTGGAAGCAACCCCGTGTGCATCCATGGACGAATGGACAGTGTGACCTGTCCACCCACCCAACGGAATATCATCGATAGTATCCAGCCATAACAAGGAAAGAAGCGCCGGAAACCTGCCACAGGGGTGGGGGGCGTGGGGCAGAGGACACTGGGTTCAGTGACAAGAGCCAGACGCAAAAGGACAAATACGGCAGGATTCCACTTCCAGGAGGTCCCGGAGGTTGCAGAGTCACAGTCCCAGGACGTGGAAGGGGTGTGCCGGGGGCCAGGGAGGGGCCCGCAGTTAGGGTTTGGCGGGGGCAGTCCTTCGGGAAGCCGGGAAAGGTCCGCGGACAGTGGGACATGTGCGCGTGTTTAATGCCACTGAGCCGCGCACTGGGCAGTGGGGAAAACACTCAATCCTGTCGCTCTTACTACAACTAAAAGAACAGGGAAGAAAGTCTGAATGTCCCCCCCGTGAACACTGGGCCGCAGCGGGGGAGTGGCCCTGGCCAGCACCCGGTTGCCCAGGCAATCACACAGGCCCCTGGCACAAGCCGGCGGAGCACTCACAGGAGCAGGGAAACGGGAGCTCCTCCCTCCACCTGGGCCTCAGTTTAACCATCTGTGAGGAGGACCGGCCACACCTTGCCTGTCCAGGTGCAGGAGGCAGGGCACTCAGGTGTAGGGCCTGGCAGCCCGCAGGGCTCCGCTCCAGTGAGCAACACGGGCCACATGTCTGCAGGCAAGGGTTTCTGGGGCACTAGTGGCTTTCAGGAACCATTTGTCCCTGGCTGGCAGGCCCCGGGGACACCCGAGGACATGGCTCACTGGCTGGTGTTCCGTCATTAGGGATGTCCTTCCTCTGGTCTAACCGCACTCTTGAGCTCTCCTAGGAACCCACAGGTCCCCAACCCTGTCCCAGGTCCCACTCAGAGTCCCACCTCCACCCCAGCCCAGCCCCCATAGCCAGAGCCTCCCATTTTCCTCTTCTCTGCCCAGGCCCCTCATGGTCTCCCTGGTTCTGCCCATCCCCGTCCTGGCCACACAGCTCTGCTGCTCCCTTCCACCCCTGGCATCTTGGGATACTCGGTGGCTTGACCGGGGCCTCAAGCGGCAAGCACAGGGAATCCTCTCCCCATCTTCCAGCTCTCCGGCCTGGCCTGTGTGGTCTGAGCACATCCCCAGACCACCACCTACCTAAAACTCAGGGGAAAAAAGCTTTCTCCACCTTATAACAGCACTGCCTTGCCACATCTCCATAAAGTAGAGGCTGAGCAGCCCCCTGTTGCCCAGCCTTCCTTTCTCTGGTCTTAGGGGTCCCCCTGCCCCACTCCCTTCCTCACTCCCACACTTCCTAAATGCAGAGCCCAGCTGCCTGACTCTGAATGCTGGACTGCTACGGCCCACTTGTTAATTATAGGACTCAGGTATCTCTGTGCTGGCTGGCTAATGTCTTCCTGGAATAGAAAGCATTATTAGTTCTTGTGGTCCACTAGGACCTTCAGGCATCTTCCAAGCTGCACTTAGAGCTGCTCCACTATCCCTTACTGATTTACTATCTTCTGCTATGGCACCTCTCTAAGTCAGCTTGCTCTAGAGTTTTCCTTTCATGCCTTAGAGCACTCTCCTAAGTTTTGTTCACAACCATTTTCTCCTTCAGAAAAGCTGGCTGTACACTGGGTTTCTTAGGGCTAACCACGTTTTCTCAGGGACTCTCACTGTTCTCATGGAAGAATAACTCATCAGTTTGGCTGCGAATCTGTGAGGAGGAAAGCAGTCCGTCCTACAGAAATGGCACTGGGCTTGTCCACTCTGGGGGCCAGAACCCCTTACAGCTCCACTCTCTCACCTACACACCACCTCTCTGGTTGGTGGAGCGTCCTTTCTTTTGCCCACACCACCATCACAAGAATTGTCTCCTTGTGTCTGGGCAGGCTGACGGATCACAGGTAAACGCGGCCCCCTTTGCTCTGTTCACCTTTCAAACTGCACGTTTACTAGAGGGATGTGTTCCCACGGGCTCTGACTGGCTAGCAAGAGCTGGTCGTTAAGTTTGCAGGAAGTCTTCAAGTGGCTGACATCATGTTAGTATTCTGAAATCAGGTGAGCACAGCGGGACAACTTACACCACCAAAATCAGCAAAGGCCACAAAAACAGGCCTTTCCCCCCGAGATGGCGCACCGCAAAGTTCTGACCAGCATGCCCCCGAGTCTCTTCCACGTGACCAGCCTGGGCTAGAGCCAGACTCCCAGCACTGGGGCAGGTCTCCTTCCACCTGGACTGACTGGAACCCGCTCTCACAACAACACTGACATAGGTCCGAAGGGCTGTGCTTCTCCGCGACCAGGAAGCAGAGGGGAGCTCTAGGTTGGGAAGGCCCAGGGCTGGGCCCAGAGGAGCCTGCTGGGAAGAAGGGCAGATGGCAACAGGCAAGCTGGCTGTGTACCCGTCACCAGGCTGGGCAGCTGCCAGCACTCTTGGTGACATATAAGTGACTCACAGACGAAGGAGAGGGGGCAGGACCTCAGAGTCTTGAGGTCAGAAGTCATGGCCAAGGGCTCATGGAAAGGAAGTGAATGCTGCACGGGTCAGCCACGTCTGGGGGCAGGTGCAGAACGAGGGGCCCTCGTCCAGTTCCCGAGGGAGCTGGTATCAGAGCCGGGAGCGGCAGCACCCCAGCCTTCCTTCAGAGCTTCCCACAGAGACGTGACCTAGCCCCCCGGGTGACCTAGAGAGCCGAGTCATGCCTGCAGAAAGGAAGCATGGAAAACCAGCTCCAGCCTCCCCCACAGGGTGGAGAGCCACCTCCAACCACGTTCCTCCTCCCCCTCACCCCTCCAGGGCAATGGGTGACTTCTGGTTTCTGCTAATG